GAAGCCCAAGGGGATTGCAACTGAGATGGAAAAATGCACAAAATGATGTAAAAATAAACTATTATAAAAAAAATTAAGGATCACCTTTTAGAAATATGTCTCAGTTTAAGATTCAACTTAGTAAAAATAGGCCATTAGATGCTTGATTCAAAACAAAAGTTTAACAATAGAAAAACAAAAATAAAGTGAATAAAATTTCTTTTAAAGATTTATTTATGCATACAGAATTGGGGTACAGGCCAGATGCGCAGGAGCAGTGAGAGGCTTCGCCAGAGATAGAGTGTGGAGCAGAAGAGGCCAAATGATAAAGTACACTGCTGAGGGGAGCAGCAGGCAGGTCAGAAGAGGTCTGCTGTACCATTTGGGTCACCTCCCTGGCTGGGGATTGAACTCATGCTGAAGTGGCTTTAGCTTTTTAGTGTTGTGCTTTAACCTGCTGCGCCCCCAGGGAGGGCCACACTATACTTTTTTCCAGCTCTGAACTCCTCAATACCTTTTATCAACTTCAATGCTTCTAGAAAGGATTCCTATAATTGCTGAATGTATGAATTCACAGCAAAGCATTATCACAACTCTTTCTCTGTTCTATTATACTATACCAAACAGGTTTCATATTCCAGAAAATGGTACATTTCTATCACTTTTCAAATCCAACTAAAATCTTGTCTAGCCTGGTTAACAAATGATCCTCCCCTAATTCCTAAGCATCAAAGTCACTATCACTTTGGTATTAAAATGTCTGATCTCAGTCCTATCTGCCAAAGAAACATCATGAATGTTTGTATACCAAGATGTGGGCAGTCATCTTCAGGAAATCTAAACAGTGATAGCTGAGGGGAAAAAAACTCTAATAACATACAGAAACATCAGAAAATATCACATAGCAGTGTTTCAAGTTTAGGAGCCTATATTTAAAAAAAAAATGCTATTCAAATATTTAATTTACCTTTCTTTAATTTCATTATGTGAAAAGTCAAATTGCCAAAATATGGTCTTGAATTGTGCAACAAGTCAAGTCTCTCATTTCTTCTTATAAAATGTACTAGCAAAGACCAACAAACCCACACTACTACAATCAAACCCATCTCCACATTCCATGGCTTCAAGGCAATTCCATAAATATAGGGTCATAAAAAGACAGCCTACAAGCTCTTGTAGCCAGCACTCCCATTTTAAGGATAAGAAATTGAAGACAATGACATGTGATCATGTAGTTGAAGCAATCTGAGGATATTTTAAAGGTCTGGCAGAATTACCAATCCTATCTTAGAAATATACTTAATAAAAAGTTTGTAAAATTCATACAATAAAGATGAACAAATTTGAGTTAAATGTAAAACTCTATTTTGTATGCTATAAAATACAAGTTATATTCAGCATACTCATATGGAGGTAACACAAAATCTCAAGAAAGCAGAATGTTCATGTTCCAGCCAACTGCTCAATTATCTCAAATGTGGTATCACAGTTCCAGTGTTATAAATAGCCCTTTGAAGTTTAACATAATAATACCTGACTAACTGAAAAAAATGGATACTTTTGAACTCTATGAATGTAAAGATACAGTTCTTAATCAAGATGTGGTTCTTAGTCAAGCACAAAATTGTGATTTTTTTTTAATTACAATAAACAGTAAAAAATTAACTGCTTTATTACCTACAAATATAGGGTACATCTGATGTTTGAAGTTTCTAAAAAATTTTTCTTTTGAATTTTATGTTACTGTGAAATACAACAAACAATATATGTGCAGACCTTGCTAAGAATGTCATGCATATTACTAAAATAAAGGATTACTAAATTACATTTTTTGAAGAAGGCTTTCAGTTTTTAATAGCTGTTTGATACTATTAATTAAATAATGCGGTGACCACTAAAATATATCCCAATAATTTTAAATAATTAAGGCACAGTAAATACAACCAGAGAACTAATTAAAATGAGCTATAACATCAGTAATGACTAATTAGTTAGTAGGCACATTTAAATATCTGTTGGATCTTTATTAGGCAATGTTACCAGGCATATTTAAACTGAACCAACAAAGGGTTAAAAATAACCACAATGAAAGGTCAACAGCCTCCCAGCACAGTTCAGCCAACAATCCTATTTTTTCTTCCCCTTCTTCCCATCCTCTCAGTCCAGAATGAATAACATGCCCCAATGCACAAAGCCCAAAAAGGTCACAGTAGATGGCAGAGACTTTTGTAAGGGAACAGAAATAACTCAGCAGCTTTGTTACGTTAGTCTCTTTTAATCAGTATGTTCAAAGTCCTTTAATTAGCACTCTGTCTACACAAGGAAAGTATCTCTCCTGTGCCAGGGGAGGACACATAGTATGTACTCAGTGTTCTGTTTTATCAGCTTCACAACATGAAGTTAGTGTCTCAAATTGTTGGTCAGGGAACTGAAGTACAGAAAACATTTTTAAACTTCTGGTACCACAATACTTACATACTACAAATTAATTTCTAATACCCAACAACAAAGTAATGATCAGATTTGTTTCAACTGGGTGTCAACTTGCTTGTGGACATTTTCCTCCAGCAAAATTAAGTTTTTTAACAAAGTAATGTTATTTAATCCACTTTAATAAAGCAGATTATTCCAATTTAATATAAAATAATGTTAACAGATTTTTTTTTAAAAACCACAATATTCAAACATTATTCCTTTCCTTGTAATCGATCTTTTGGGATGGAAGAAGACATCCCCCCCTCAAACAGGAGTAAATCACAAGCCACATTTGTACATGGATGCTGGACAATTAAAATGTTACCCAATCACGAAGTCTTAAAACTTGCAGGATGATTACATATATGTACTTTCTTGGAAAGTCAGACAAACTGAAATTAAGATAGAATTGGTAATAACTTTAAAGTTAACTATTTTAAAAATCCAAGAAACAGCAATTTCACTGGAAATGGGATTTATAGTATTTTGCAGAGCCATGTAAAGGTTACAAACTTACTTTTAATCTTTCAAAATCAAATTGCATAAATATTGTTAAGAAGCAAAAGTGTATATGTGTACATGTACATAGTCTAAAAATGTGTATATGCAATTAAACAAAGAGCAAATAACTTTCTAAATATTTGATTAGAGAAATATTCTACCTAAATTTAAAATCAAGTTCATCATCAGGGAGGCAACGTAGTATATTGTTTGAAAGTCAGCAATGCCATTCCAGTGAGCTCATAGTACCAGTCTAAACAATGAGAATAATATAACTATTTTGTAGGTTGGTGAGAAAATTCAATGGTGCCTATAAAGCTCCTGGAAAAAAAAACAAAATTTGCTGGTAAGGCCTTAGAGTGTAACAGATATTTTCATGTCTTGCAAAAAATGTATTTGGCATAACCTATCAAAATGTTACACACACGCACACACACACACAACACACCACCATATGAATATATGGCATCCACAGAAGCATTGTAAATGCCATATTATAAACAATATAAATACCTTTCAAAAAGGGATTGAGAAAATTAATGTTACTATATTTATTTACAAGTAAATGTTACTACAAAAGAATTCAATATAGTTAAAATTCTTAATAGGGAAAACAGAACCTGGTAAACTATTAAGGAAAACTGAGATATGGAAAAGTTAAGTTTATGTAATATGCTACCATATACATAAAAGAGAACTAGCTATTCACATTTATTTGAATATAGAAAAAAAATTCTCTGGAAGTTATAGGATTAATTAATAGCAATAATTACCTACTGATGATAAATTGAAACAGTGCCTAAACACTCAGCTTAAAAGCTATAATTACTGGGCCCTCCCTAGTGGTGCAGTGGCTTAAGGCCCAGCACTGCAAAGATGGCTGCAGCAGCTTCACTGTGAGTTCAATCCTGGCCCAGGAGGTGATCCACATGGCATGGTAGACCTCTCTTGACACGTTCACTGCTCCCCTCAGCAGTGTACTTCATCGATCTGCTTGCTTTGGTCTCCACTCTAACTATGGTGAATCTTCTCACTGCTCCTATACCTCTGGCCTGTACCCCAATTCTGTATGCATAAATAAATAAATCTTTTTTAAAAAAGCTATAATTACTACCCTCATGAGTATCATCATCACCATGAAAACATATCCTTAAAATATATACACAGAATATAGTCAATCTAAAGCCATACTGAGGTAAACAGTCAACTTTCAACTCTAAATAGGCTGCCTAACTAGTTGAAGGTATATGTACTTCCTTTCCTCTTCAAAGGTAAGCAGTTTTTGGTAATTTCACTGTTAGCTACCACCTTCACTAGAAAGTGAATTAAGAAAATAATACCAAAAACAGACATGTTATTCAATACTGATCAGCAGTTCTCCAAACACAGCTTTTGGACCTGAAAAGGACAGTAAAAATCCCACAGTAAAACCTTCCAATATTATGTAAAAACTAAGGTCCAGCAAATTCCCGAAGTTAATAACAGTTAAAAATTGGGGGTTCAGGGCCCTCCCTAGTGGCACAGGGGATTAAAGCACAACACTAAGAAGCTAAAGCCACTTCAGCATGAGTTTAACCCTTGCCTGGGAGGTGATCTACATGGCGCAGCAGCCATCTCCTCACCGGCTGGCTGCTCCCCTCAGTAGTGAACTTGGTTGATCTGCCTGTTCTGCTCCCAACTGTCTCTGATAAATCCTCTCACTGTCCCTGTACCTCTGACCAGTACCCCAGTTCTGTATGCATAAATGTTTAAAAAAAATTGGGGTTCATCTCTATTTTGTTATTAATAAGTGTATGGTGGGGGGAAATAGGGGAGAACACTGAAACTAATTTTAATTTAAACTAATTATCCCAGTAAATCCCACAAACCCCTTCCTTTATTACATATTATTGTTTGCAGAGGTAAAGTTCCATAAGCATTTATAGTAAAAGTTGCAAATAGGTCATCCAAAGAATTTGGCAATGCCGCCCCAAGTTTCAAGGGCCAACCACTGAATGAACATCTGAAGTCAGTGAAATGTGTAATAAAATTGGCAGTTTGCTTACACTGGAGATTGTCAGAGGCATGTTGAAATCCTTGCCACCTTGCAGCCGGAAACCCCAAGGAGCTGGGCCAACCAAGGACACACTGTAGTTGCTCATGGTTCTATTGGCTCAATGTCCAATCCCAAAAAAGGAAAGAAACTGTGAAAGAAAATCAGATGGTTAACAGAAATATTTGCAAATCTATTACATATTTACGTACATTTAATTAAATTATGTTCAGTAATTTTGGGGGGATAGAGGATTTAGGGGTTAAGTCTATATTAAGTTCTCATTATTTCCATCCAATTTGTGGCTTCTTTCATAAAAACTGTAATTCAGGGCTCTCCCTTGTGGCACAGCTGGTTAAAGCACAGCACTAAGAAGCTAACGTCACTTGCGCATGAGTTGGATCCCCACCTGCCCCAGAGGTGATCCACATGGCGCGGCAGACCTCTCCTGACCAGCCCACTGCTCCCCTCAGCAGTGTACTTTGAAGATCTGCCTGTTCTGCTCCCAACTCTGTCTCTGGTAAATCCTTTCACCAGCCCTGCACCTCTGCCCTGTACCCCAGTTCTGTATGCATAAATAAATAAATCTTTAAAAAAAAAAAACTGTAATTCAAAATACAACATCTCATTATATTTACAAAAAAGAAAAAAACTGGCTCTCCCTGGTGGCATAAGGGGTTAAAGCACAGCCACTGCAGCACTAATTTGATCCCAGGTCAGAGAGTGACCTACATTAGGTACAGCAGGCCTCTCCTGTCTCATCCACTGCTCCCCTCAGCAGTGTATGTCAGTCAGTTTGCCTCTGTTCCACACTCTGTTTCTGGTAAATCCTCTCACCCCCACTCCCACACCTTGGCCTGTACCCCAGTTCTTGTATGCATAAATAAATTTTTTTAAATAGAAAAAAAATTATTTTAAGTTTAATTCACAATAATTTTCCCTTCCTTCCTCAAGTATTCTTTTGCCTTCAATTTTATTTAAGTTCTAAATTACTCCAACTTATTAAAAGGAGTATAAATCTGTAGACTCCCATATGTGCTTTCCAAGTATTAAATTCTTTAAAGTAATTAGTTATTTTTAAATGCACAGAACTAGTCTCTGTGATCATAAAATACAACTTGTACTTGTGTTTACAGGGAAATGGTATGTTCCACACTTAATACTTGTGCTTCAGAGAGTTAATAGGAAGCAATACTCCAACACAGTAATATTTCGGTATACTACTTATATACACACACTCATCAGGCAAAGTAGAATGAGTATTTACCACATGGTGAATAAATTCCTACCAAGTATGGCAGAAATGTAGGTTAATCCCAAAACATGAAAGAAAGTCTGAGTTTTAGAAAAGAGCCAGAATTTTCTGTGCTTTCTTTTTTCTGTATTTTGCTATCAGTATACTCATACTGACTCACAAAATAGCATTTTTACATAATACTAAAAAGTATGACTTGGAGTTTGATAATAGCTTTTATGGTGAATGAGAGATTCAGAGGAATGGTGATTTTTTTTTAATGTTATACTAGGAAACATAATATTTTTTACTTTATAAATGTTAAAAATATAGCATGTAAAACTTAGTAATTTTAAAACCCCTTTTTTAAAAAAGCTATTTAAGACAGGCTTTCAAAGACAATCTGCTCTGTTTAACCAACTTATCAGTTATATTACCTATATTAAAATATTTTTCCAATTTTTTAACCTATTCAAAATTTCAGTACCGTCACACCAAATTAATAGTGGCAGATGTAGAAAGTCAAGCCACTGGGCATAGCAAGAGAAAACAGTTTCCATCTTCTCATAAGGGGAAAATGACACAAAACTTTCAGAAAAGTCTGGTTCTTATAGAAAAATTAAACAAGTGCAATTCTGCACTACAACTACATGAGCTTTTTCACTGAAAGTACTAAGCTAGGAGGCAATAATATATTGCACTTCAGTACTGATGTAATAGGCACAGGGCAGTAAAAGAACCCAAAGGCCAAGTGAGAATTCAAATGATTAGATAGACATGAAAAATGAATAGTAGAAGGATAATAAAGTCACATAAAATTTCACTGTTTTCCCACTAGAATAAAAGAGCAGGTTTTCACGGAACTATTAAAGACTCGATAATAGAACAGGACACAAATCAGGAGCTTGTAAAGCCAACAGATATTTCATAGCCATCGGCCCCTCCCCTCCCGCCTCTTTTTTTTAATCTTTAACTTGTGTCAAGAGAAAATGTGAGAGTTAGGTTCAATTTCCTCTGACCCCACTGCTTTCCCTACAGGAAAATCTATTTAATTTATGTATCAACCCATTCATTGCAACTTCCCTTTACCTTGGAGTTCCGTTCCTGACTTCTCCTAGTGTGTAGTGCTGGCAAGTTCAAGGTGACACCATAAAATCAGGATCATCTCATTTTAATATTACCCCATGTCCTCAATCTGCCTTAAAAGAGTCTCATGCCTAGGCCTTCTCAAGATCTACTCTTCCTAAAGCCTACAGAAAATAGGGAGCAGCCTATACTGCTTTCAAACACGCAGAAAAGGCTGGAACTTCTGGATAGTTATGAATTTTCTTTTAGGCAAAGTCTGAACAACTTCCTCGCTCTAGTACTGAGAAAGGCATTCCCCACACTCATATTCCAACATCTCTGAAGGATGGAAAAGAAAATTGCTCAGAGGCACACGCAGGGCCTGAAATTAAAAAGCAGTATCTTAAGATCCCCCCACCCCCAAGCTGAAAGATAATGGAGGTAAAGCTGCAGAGCTAAGCCACAGGCACAGGATGAAAGCAGCGGGCCAAGCAGACAGGGATCCGGCAGGGATCACGCCTAGCCCAGTTTGCCAAATAAGGCTCCGCAGCCGGCAGTTTCCGTGGCAGGCGGGTTCCGGAGCCTCGCGGTCAGGGAGGCGGACTAGGATCGGGAGGAGAGCACACCCTAGCCCAGCCCTGCCCAGCCCTGCGCAGCCAAGAGTTTTCTTTCCAAGTTCTGCTCTGTCCACACGCCCTTCCTTTTTCCACTTATTGTCAAGCGCACTGAGGGCACAGCCCAGCAAAATCCCCACAAGTACTCACATCCTAATAAATCTGGTGTTCTCGAGACTGCTTTCTTAAAAGAACTTTATTCCTAGACGCATACAAGTTCCCCCCAAACAGGTTACACAACTGTAAATATTTTGAGGGAAATAAATGCTTCTTGGTAGCTTAAGAGCGAACGAAAAATAACGTGCCCTTCCCGTTCGGTCCCGCTCCTCCCCACACCCCCAGTAGCTCCGCGCAGAACCTGGGTGTTCCCGGACGCCGAGGTAGAGGCCGGGGTGCCGGGAGCCGCTCCTCCCGCCCTCGCCATCCCAGGCGCTCCACTCCCGCGTCCAAGCGTCGGACGCGCTCGAGCCCGCCCGCCCAGGTTCCAGGGACTTCCAGGGCTAGACCGTGGCCTGACGCCCATAGCCTCGCGTCCCTTCCCGGACGTTCCTCGGGCCACATCGCGCTCCCACCTTAGCCGCCCGCGCCCAGAGCACCTGAGGAACCACCCCACGCGCGCCACGCTGGGGTGGAAGAGAGGCTAGGCTTCGCTCCCAGCGCTAGGTGCGCGGAAACCGCTCCTTTGCCTCCTCCCTGCGAGGGGTCAGACACGCGCATCCCCGGGGGCGGCCACTCACCTCGGGTCCCGCGCTGCCTCCGCCTCAGACGAGCGCTGACAAGTGACTCTCCGGGCTTGCGCCTTCCCCACCGCCCGCGGGAACTTCCGCCTCCTGGCTCGACTCGGCCCCGCCCCTGAGTGGACACGCCCCGCCCCGGTCACGCCCCCGGACTGGGCAGGGCCGCACCCAGCGGGCGGAGGCCGCCGCGAGCAGTGTGGCGCGCGGGCTTGCCGAGGCGAGCTGGAGCCTTCATGGGAAAATAATTGCGCTACCGAGTTTCGGTGGGAGTAATCCTCGGGTAGCCGGAGCTCTACCTGGCACAGGTCCACTCGGCGTCTCTTTGGTAGCTGTTGCTCATTTCTCTCCAAAAACTTTGAATTGACTGGCAGTTGCTCTGGCTAAATATAGGAGGTTTACATAAATCCCTGTCTCCAATTCCGCGACTACTGCCTGGTGGTTTGAGGTTTATGTGGCCTGCAGAAGGTAGACTCTGAAGTCGGCTTGTCTGTAATGTAATCATCAACCTGAATCAACCTGAATATCTAAAAGCTAAATCCTTTTATCACACCAAAATACAATGATAGAGAACATCGGTCAAAGTGACTCAACCACTGTAGCCTCAGCTTATTTTTCCAAGTCGAATCTTTTTTTCCCACTTTTCTATAAATTGACTTGAAATTGATTCAGTAAGCGCACTTGAATCATGCTCATTGAACATGCAGAAAGTAATGTGTTGACTTTTAAAATTGTGAATTGGCTTAGAAGATGTGAAAAGAACAATTCTCAACTAAAGCACCTACAAACTGCATAGGGTCCATGAATCCCATAGAAATGCAAACAAAATTCTAGAGAATGCCCAAAATTTCTATGCCCGAAATAATAACGATTAACCATGTGTGCGTTTCAGACGTATGTAATGTGTCTGTTGTGACTAAGAGACTGAATTGTTTGGTGTGACTTTAATTTTAATGTAAAAACTGAAGCAGAGTAACATTTCTGTAAACAGCATTATTTTGGAGGTGTAGATAGAAGTACATTTCAATTTATCACTGAAATTTAGTACCCAAATTAAAACATGATGGATGTATAAAATGCACACTAGATGTCCCTCCATGGTGGCACACGGGTTAAAGCACAGCACTAAGAAGCTAAAGCCACTTCAACTTGAGTTTGATCCCTGCCCAAGAGGTGATCCACATGGCATGACAAACCTCTCCTGACCCATCCGCAGTTCCCCTCAGCAGTGTACTTCATCAGTAGGCCCGTTCTGCTCCCCACTCTGTCTCTGGTGAATCCTCTCACTGGTCCTGCACCTCTAGCCTGTACCCCAGTTCTCTATGCATAAATAAATAAATCTTTTTAGAAAATGCACACTAGATTTTGAAAACTTAATATGAAAAATATATTGTGAAATGCCACATTAATTTTTGTTAATGGAAAGGAACTATAATACAATTAGCATGCAATACAGAACAATTAATATTTTTACAATGATCATATGTTGAAATAAAATTTTATATTTGGTAAAGTGATTATATGTTGAAATAAAATTTAACATTTGGTAAAATAATACAATATAAAAAATTTTTTTTCCCAAATTAATTACTTAACGTTCCTAACATACATTTCTTGAACAATGCCTCCCAAGTCATCTACATAAGCACGTCTCTCTGCTTTATTTTTTCAATTTTCTTCTTTTTCTTCTTTTTTTTTTTAAAGATTTATTTATTTGTGCATATAGAGGTGGGATGCAGGCCAGAGGCTCAGGGGCAGTGGGAGGCTTCACCAGAGACAGGGGCGGGGGGAAACAGAACAGGCAGATCGACGAAGTACACCGCTGAGGGGAGCATTGGGCGGGTCAGGAGATGTCTGCCACGACATGTGGTCACCTCCGGGGCAGGCGGGAATCGAATTCATGCGGAAGTGGCTTTAGATTCTCGATGCTGTGCTTTAACCCGCTCCCCACCAGGGAGGGCCCCTCTTCTTTTTCTTTTAACCTGATCAAACCATTCACACAATTACCTCATCTTCCTTCTCCTCTGTTCCCTCTGGTAGCCATTATATTCTTTTTGCTAAGTTCAAGATTTATTTCTACTGTCCTTTACCTATACATATGTTTGGGGTAATTATAATCCACAGATGAGTCAAATACGCCAAAGCTATATTTCACTCAACATAATCATTTCAAGAGCCATCTATTTTCTCCCTAATGACACCATTTCATCTTTTTCCACAGCTGTGTAGTATTCCATTGTGTGCATATACCGCAATTTCTCTATCCATTTGTCTATTGAAGGGGACTTAAACTGCTTCCAGGACTTGGCAATTGTGAATAGTGCTGCTGTCTATGTCAGCATAGATAAAACTTTTCATGTTATTTAGGTAAATACCTAATAAGAGGATTTGTGGATTGTATGTAATTTCCATATTTATTTTCTAAAGAAATCTCCATACCATTTTTCACAGTAGCTGTACCAACTTACCACTCACCAACTCTCACCCACCTGTGGGCGCCAATTCTTTTTTCACAGCAACCTCATCAAAATTTTTGAATCATTTTCTCTTATGCAGTCCATTCTCACAGGGAGGAGTTTGTATCCCAATGTGGTTTTAATTTGTATTTCCCTTATAGTAAGTGATGTACAATTTTTTCATATACATCTGAATATCTTCATTAGAAAGTGTCTGTTTACATCTTTGCCTATTTTTTCACTGGATTGCTTGTTTCCTTGTTACTGGATTATTTAAGTACTTTCTAGAAATTGGAGTTTCACCCCTTGTCAGTGGTCTGATATGGTATGCAATGATATGGGTGACTTTTGTCTTTGTCTTTTGAGGTACAAAAAAATTTAAGTTTGATGTAGTTCCACTTCTTTATTTTTGCTTTCATCTCCCTTTTTGTTAGTGTTTAACCCTCAAATACATCTTTGTCATAGATATTCTGTAGTTTGTTCCCTGTTTTCTTTCAAGTACATTATGGTTTGAATTCTTATATCTACTTCTTTAATCTATTTTTAATTAATTTTTGTGAGTGGAGTTAAATTTGTGGCTTGTTTCACTGTTTGGCAAGTGGCTGTTCATGTTTCCCATCACCACTTACTAAACAGGCAATTTTTCTCCACTGTACATCCACAGTTCATTTATCAAAGATTAAATATACACATTTGAGCGGGCTTATATCTGGGCTTTAATTTTATTTAATTGGTCTGAGATAGTGTTTTTGTTATGGTACCATACTGTTTTGATTCCTGTTGCTGTGTAATATAGTTTGAAGTCAGGCAGTGTAATACCCCTAATTTTCTTCTTTTCTCTCAGAATTGATTTAGTTATTTGGGTGCTGGTGTGGTTCCATATATATTAGATATTCTTTTTCTGTTTCCCTGATAAAAGTCATTGGGATTTTGATAGCTACTGCATTAAATATATAAACTGTTTTGGGTAATATCTCCACTTTAAAGATGTTTATTCTTCCAACCCATGAGCATGGGATATCTTTCCATTTCTTTGTGACTTATTTCCTTTAGTAGAGTTTTATAAATTTCAGTATACAGGTCCTTTGCTTCCTTCTTTAAATTTACTCCCAGGTATTTCATTCCTTTTGATGTGATTGTAAATGTAACTGCATTTCTTACTTCTCTTTCTTTTATGTATTCTTTGAATATAGCATCATTGCTGATTTTTGTGTATTGATTTTGTATCCTGACACTCTACTATATCCATTTATCATTTATATAAAGTTTTTTGTAGAATCTTTTGGTTTCCGTAAGCATATTAAAATGTCATCTGAAAATAGTGATAGTTCCACTTCTTCTCTGATTTGGGTTCCTTTATGTCTTTTCCTTGCCTAATTGTTTAAGCTAGGTCTCCTAATACTATATTGAACACTAGTGGTGGTAGCAGAAATCCCTGTGTTTTTCTGATCTTAGAATACTCTCAACTTTTCACCAATGAGTGTGATGTTGGCAATGGTGTATCATATATATCTTGTATAATGTTTAGATAAATTCTGTTTAATCCTTTTTTGGAAGAATTGTTACCATAATTAGGTGTTGGATCTTATTGAGTACTTTTTTCAGTATCTATTCAGATGATATTATGGTTTTGTGTTTCTTTTTTTTATCTACTAGATGACATTGATTGACTTACCAGTACTGAACCAGACTTGCTTCACTGGTATGAAGTATATTTGATAATGGTGGACAGCTCTCTTGTTATATTTCTGTGTGTTTGGTTTGAGATGATTTTATTGAGGATATTTGCATCTATTTGCACCAGAGATATTGGTTTATAACTTTCTTTTTCAATACTGTCTTTTTTTGGTTTTGGGATCAGAGTAATGTTGGCCACATGTAATGTGTTGGGGTGTTTCCTTACCTCTTCAATTGGTTTTTGAAGACTTTGAGTAGAATAGGTTTTAGATCTTCTTTGAAGATTGTGTAGAATTCACTGGAAAAGCCATCTGGTCCTAGGCATTTGTTTTGTTAGGGAATATATTTTTATTAATGATATTTCAATGTAAGCATTTGTGATTGGTTTGCTTAAGCCCTCTGATTCACCCTTGTTCAATCTTAGGAAATTGTATGAGTCTAAAAATTGGTCCATTTCTTCTAGGTTGTTCAGTTTGTATGTGTAGAGACTTTTGTAGCAAGTTCTTATGTTCCTATGTATTCTTGCCATATCTGTTTTAATTTTACCTCTTTCATTTCTAATTCTATTTATTTAGTTTTTCTCGCCTTTCCTTCATTAGTCTAGCTAATGGATTCTCAATTTTGTTTATTTTTTTCTCAAAGATCCAACTCTTTCACTGATCTTTTGCAATCTCTTTTGGTTTTCTATTTTAGTTATTTCTGCCCTAATTTTTGTTTTTTCTTTCTTTCTACTGGTTTTTGGATGCCTTTGTTTTTCTTTTTATAATTTTTTCAGTTATTTAAATTGAAATATGCTTGTACTTCTTATGTAGTATTCCTTTTATAGTAGTACAGAGGGTCTGGTAGCTAGACTCTTTATTTTCATTACTCTCTAAATACTTTATGATCTCTTCTTTCACTAAAACAGGAGTTGTTCAGATGGATTTCATTTAGTTTCCACATGCTTTCTTTAGTTCCAGGGTTCCTTTTCTGGCTAATTTTCTAGTTATAGAGCA